CTTGACCTCGTGATCCACCCGCCTTGGCCTCCCGCAGTGCTGGGATTACAGGCGTGAGCCACCGCGCCCGGCCTTTCTGCTCTGCTCTTTGTTATTTCCTTGCTTCTGCTAACTTTGGGCTTTGTTTGTTTGTTTTTTTAGTCCCTTATGGTGTAAAGTTAGATTGTTTATTTGTAATCTTTATTTTCCTCCCATGTAGGTGTTTATTATTACAACCTTTCCTCTTAGAACAGCTTTTTGCGGTATCCCGTAAGTTTTGGTATGTTGTGTTTTCATTTTAATTGTTTAAAGATATTTTTCGATTACTTTTTTGACTCATTGATTGTTCAGGAATGTGTTGTTTACTTTTCTCGTGTTTGTGAATTTTCCAGTTTTCTTCCTCTTGCTGATTCCTGGTTTTATACTGTTGTGTTCAGAAGAGATGCTTGATGTGATTTCAGTCTCCTTGAATTTGTTAAGACTTGTTTTGTGGCCTAATGTATGATCTATACTGAAGAATGTTGCATGTGTGCTTGAGAGAAATGTGTCTTCTGCTGCTGTTGGAGGGAATGTTCTCTTTATGTGCATTAGCTCCATGCGGTCTCAAGTGGAGACTATGTACAACGTTTTCTTATTGATTTTCTGTCTGGGTGATCTTTCCACTGTTGAGAGTGAGGTACTGAAGTCCCTACTATTTGTGTATTGCTATCTATTTCCCCTTCAGATCTGCTAATATTTGCTTTACATATTTAGGTGCTCCAATGTTGAATGAGTATATATTGGTAATTATGTTTTCTTGATGAATTGACCCTGTATCATTACATAAAACCCTTTTGACTCTTGGCTACAGTTTTTGACATAGCCTATTTTGTCTGATATAAAATAAACATAGCTACTCCTATTCTGTTTTGGTTTCAATTTGTGTAGAATATCTTTTTTCATCTCCTCATTTTTAGTCAATGTGTGCCCTTAAAGCTGAAGTCTGTCTTTTGTAGGCAGTACACTACCTACAAAAGAGTTGAGTCTTTTGAGTTGAGTCTTAGAGTTGAGTCTTCTTCTTATTTTTTTGTTCGTTAAGGCGCACTGTGTCTTTTGATTGGATAATTTAATCCATTTGCATTTAAAGTAGTTATTGATAGTTAAGGATTTACATTGCCATTTTGTTAATTGTTTTCTGGTCACTTGGTAGATCATTTGTTTCTTTCTTCCTTTTTTCTGTAGTAGTGTGCTTTGAGTGCTTTGTCTTTATCTTTGGTGTATGTACTAGGTTTTTTATTTGCGGTTACCACAGGGCTCATATAAAGTGTTTCACAGTTATAATAGTCTATGCTAAACTGATAACAACTTAGCTTTGATCACACGCAAGAACACTACACTTTTACACCCACCCAACATTTTATGTTTTTGATATCACAATTTACATCTTTTTTTTTTTTTTGTTTGCACATCCATTAACAAATTATTGAGCCAGGTGCAATGGCTCACACCTGTAAATTCTGGCACT